GGTAGGGCGGAAGGCCCTCTTCAGCCTGCTTTCAGGAATCGTGGGAATGGGTGGGTGGTGGTTCGGGTGAGAAAGATGAGACGGACGAAATGAAGACAGAAGAGAGTGAAAGATTATCTGTGGAATATTATTGCCTCAGCATTTGCTTAAGTGATCCAAGGAAACCACAGAAAAACTTGGACCAAGGCAGACGGACCCGGAATCGAACCGGCGTCCTCCCGAATGCTTAGCAATGGTCTAGACCTCTAGGCCATGCCGCTCGGTAACATTTCTAAACTACTGGGAGAAACTGTTTGAAAACTATTGGTGCCTGTGTGGAAAGATAGTGTAATGGTTGGAAGTAATGCAGCTATGTAAATGATTTTAATTAATTTTCAAATTACCGATTGTGTGAGGGATCACTTGCTGAAACTAGTTCATAATTTAAAAGGAAATTAAAATTTTTAGACTGATACTATGATCAAAGGGGTAAGCAATAAGGATATCCCACAACATTCCGCAACAATGTAAATGTAACCTTAAGGTACGTGATAATGGATAATAGTCAACGTAATGCCCATCCTATTTCCTAATCTCGAACTTTTTTTCCCTGCCCTCTTATATTTTTATCTAAGTCTTACCTTATCCTCACTTTTTTATCCTACCTAAATAATACATGTCCTTCTTAGAATTTTGCTGTATTGCAAATAACACCTCACGTGATTTTATATTTAAGATAACGGTCACTTGTTGTGACGTGAACCACAGTATACTTATGTAATAAACATTGAATTTCGCCCATAATTCAAGAACCATGATTCTGATAAGAATGTACATTCGTTATCTTTCAAGTAACACATTACCCTGATACATTTGAGACAGTGGTTACCTGACGATAAACATTTAAAACCGCTTATAATTCATGAATTATGGTTCCAATGAAAAATAGAAAAGCATGCGTCTTTTGACTTCTTTACACAACGCGTGGAATGCCGATACACGCTTCGTATGGTAGATTAGGCGTGGAGCGAGAAGGCATATCTTTTCTGAGCATTATGGGCTCAACGCACATATGTCTGCCAGGTGATCATCATACTAAGGCTGAATCCACACTATCCACAGTCGATCACGGTTCATTTGCGGTCCGATCTCGGTCTGGTAAAATCTAATCATGTTCACATTAGACAATCTGACTCAGTATACGATTCAGACTTGAACCGTCAGTAATGGAAGTCGGATGTATTTGGCTCATAATTAATAATAAACAAAATTCTGTCACTACTACTATTCTTACGTTATTTGTAAATATCATTTTAAAAATCAATTATTTATGCATAAATTACCTTTTTCAAAAGTCCACTCTGGTTTAGACATCCTTAGTACTTAGAATTAACTTAAATAATAAATTGTTTCAATTACTCAATACGAATTTAATAAAATCTTTCAAATGTACATTAATTACATTTGATGCAATTGTCGCTCCAACGGATAATAGTTGACTGAACTGAGAACAAAAGTGCATTCATTCTGTAGCAAGCACGACCGTGTTTGTGTGCGATCGGCCATACGTGTGTGTGAGTGGCTTATCGATTCGCCGACTAGCCGAGCGCGCTTTTCTTCATGTGCGCCGTATTTGTAAATGTGTCTGTCGTATCTGCGTTCTGGGAAAGCAATTAAACAGTTCAAAGAAAAAGAAACTTTTCCAGACGGTTCAAGAAGGTTCCCGAACGGAAACAAAAGAGTATTTAAAGGAAGAGACGTTCGCCGAGGGAGAAGTAGAAATAAATTGACCGTTGCAGAAGTGAGTCGAGAAATAAATTGACAGTGATAACAGTGAAATAAATAGAGATTTATTAATAATTAGTGTAAATAAATAGTTTTTGTTGTTGTCAGTCTTAAAACTAATTCTGTTAAACCCACGAACATTACAATACTATCGATACATTTCGTGACAAGTTAGATCTCGCTCAAACAAAATTTGTTCAAGACTGGAATGGTATTCGACCGAAACTTAACTGTTACGGATAGTATAAATGCACACATTGTTTTACATTTGAAAATATTTTACCAGATCGAGATCTGACCGCGAACGAACCGTGATCGACCTTAGTATGGATCCAGCCTAACAGTTATTATAACATCTCCAAAAAATTGTCGTTCCGATTTTAATACAGAATGTTGAAGTTATTAACAAATGCAATTTTTGTTTTTGCGGAATAGGGGAAATATTCATAGACGCCCGTGCGATTGAATGGTGTCGGATTCCCGAGGAACGTGTTCTCAGCCCTTCCGACTAAGCCCCTTTAACGCATCAGGACGTCACACGGAGTGTGAAGGATTTTCGCTTATAACGCGGAAATCCACGCGCTGTGTAATAACAGACTAACGATATAGAAACCGAGCACGTGTATAAGCCGCGCGTGGATTACAATTCCATGATCCGTGTAACTGTATTTGTAGAATTTCGTTATCTTTCGAATAACACCTCACTCAACATTGACATTTTTAGGAAATGTTTTGCTCTGTTTCAATTTCTTAGAATGCGATTTTAACAAAACTCATTCTTAGCGCTCCTCTATGCAACAGTCAGAATATGCTCTTAATGTTCCATTCAAATCCACCTAAATGTTCCAAATTGTTTCAATTAAGTGATATCTATAATATACCAATATTAGATCACGAAATCATAAAAAAATTAAAAAGTGTAGAGATGCCTCTACAAGATAATGTATACTGTACGTACATGTGTCAATTGTAATCAACTTATCAATTCCTAAAAAGTTAGATACTGTGGAGTACAATTTAACCTCTTACGGTTTGACTTTAAACTTATAATTTACCTCTGTTTACAATATATTTTCAGTACTCCTTCGTTTACGAGTGTGATAAGGTAAGTTAGAATTTGCTTTTTTAAATAACAGAACATAGTGTTATCCAGTGTGTCATCTACTGGTATTTGTTACTTGTTAAACAAGTACCTTACTAATATCTATCTACGTGTGCAACTGAATCGACGTTGTAAATTATATACATACATACATCCAAATCCTTCCTGACTAAGAACTGAACAGTAAAAGAATTAAACTAAAGTAACGATAACTGGAAATATTATTCTGTTTAAAGTAAGTATTTACTCATTTTGGACTAAAAACTTGCGAAGTTGCTAAGCGAAGTGAACCCAACCTACCAAATTTGTTCTTTTCGGAAACCTTCAAATAATGCAAAATCGAACTAAAATGTTTCTGATAAAAAAAAGAAGACGTTGAAGGAATACCTACCTAATACATTAATGCTATCAAGTGAATTTCTCAGGGTAAGTTTACCACAAGGCATTTTGTTACTTGTTAATAATAAGAAATGCTTAAATTATCTACCAAATGTCACTTACTTACAAAAATAAAAACTTCAAACTCTATGAATTAATTAACTAATTATTAATGCGTCTATAAACCCAAACAATCTTGTATTTGGAGCAAACGGCTCAACTTTAGCACAATAGGCTTCGTATGTTGGACAATTTACATAATGATGTTAATTGTAACTTGGCTTAGCTCTTGGTGAAACATTTTTCAAAATAATTCAAGAAATAACAACTCTTGGTTTTGTTTCACTATTTTTTATTTAATATTTAATCCTCTAATATCAATAGTATCTAGGCAGTTCGTTCCATTTAAAAGAAGAAATTTACTCATTTAAGTTAGTTTACAGTATAACTCTTTGATAATGGCATAACTGCCGAAACATGTTAGAGGATTAAATATTAAATAAAAAATTGTGAAATAAAACCAATAGTTGTTATTTCATGAATCAATTTACATAAGCCTATCTTAATTGAAATTTATTTTCTAGAAGCCGATTATTACCAAATTCAGAATGAAACCTTACGAACTGATTGTGATTTGTATTCTACTAGCGAGTACATCTTGGGCAGCTGAAAATTACGACGACATACCGGCTGATTGTACTCTAACTGGTAATTCCTTGGATCCTCTAGCTTCAATAGTATCCAATTGTACAGAGATTTTGGTAAAGGATTTCGAAGTGCCTGCTGGTCGTAATTTAACCATAGAACCACAAGATGGTACCACAATAGTATTTTCAGGACGCATTACTATTGGTTACAAAGAAATGAAGGGGTCCCTTATTATAATTAGGGGCAACAATCTGACAGTTATCGGAGCTCCAGGACATATTTTCGATTGTGATGGAGCCAGATGGTGGGATGGACTTGGCGGAGGGGGCGGAAAACTAAAACCAAAATTCTTTAGGATTCAAAACGTCACCAATTCAATTTTTAAAGACCTAAATATTAAAAATACGCCCACCCAGTGCTTCTCAATTAACGGCTGCCAGAATGTGACCTTAACAAATATCACCATAGATGATTCGGATGGCGATAAACAAGGAGGTCACAACACTGATGCTTTTGACACGTCAGCATCAAAAAGGGTTACAATAATGAATTCTCGTATTTTTAATCAAGATGACTGCCTTGCTATCAATTCCGGAAGTGATCACGTATTCATAAATAACACTTGCTCAGGAACTCACGGAATTTCCATTGGATCTGTCAGAAACGCGGTTGTTGAAAACATTTTTGTTAAGAATTGTACCGTAGTAAACTCTGGTACTGGTGTACGCATCAAGACAGTATTCAACACTACCGGAATTGTAAGAAATATTACGTATGAAGATATTATTCTAGAGAATATTAGAGATTACGGTATAACCATCCGTGGAGATTACGTAAATAATGGAGTAACTGGCCCTCCATTACCAGGCTTTAACATATCTGACATTACTCTCCGAAACATTCATGGTACTGTCCAAAGGCGTGGTACTAATGTTATCATTCTGTTGGCAGATGGAGTGGCATCACATTGGACGGTAGAAAATATTGATGTTCATGGAGGAGGAAGACGTCCTAACTGTACTGGAATACCCATTGACAGTGGATTGAAATGTGAGGATTATAATGGAAAATGATGTTTTTAAAATGTATTTCAATTAATGTTACGTATGTCCTTTCTATGAAAATATAAGTATAATTGTCGTTCTTACAGTTTTACATTCGCAAAACTTTGCATTAAAATTTATAGTCAGTGTATGTCACAATTAAAATGCTAGCTATGAAAAAATCTTACATATAGAAATACATCTACTTTACTGATTGTAAAGGTCCAGAGTAGTATATTGATATTGATTCTCATTCATTACTTATTCCATTTTATTCTTCTAATTCTATGGCTTAATTTTTTCTCTATTCGAACTAGAAGCAATAAAATCTCACATCAGATTCTATTACAAAATTAGACGTTTATCTCCTTGTTAGGGTAAAAGCATTGAAGCATCAGTTTTTGTATGTTGGTTACACCCGAGTAATTGTAAGTATATTACCTACCGACAGATCGCTTCGTTTAAATAGATTTCTCACTTCAAAACGAGTACCTTGGAGCCGTTCTTACTTTTTGTGCACTGTGGTTTCTTGGTAGAAGCATTTTTTGCATCAGAAGATTCTGAATACGATCCCTCTTAATACATTCTGACTGGTAATTGCTTGGAAAGTTTCGCTTCCATCATTTCTTGTACTCAACAGGAAATACTAAGAAAGACTTCGATATTCCTGCCCGAAGGATATTAAATTTGAAAGTGAATGATGGCGCAAGTATAATCATTACAGGAAAAATAGCTTACGAAATGTGATAGGCATTTCAAAATTATTAGAAAAAACTGTTTAAAAGATTTCGGCGCAGGTGGAAATTAATTAGTCTGCGTAGGAGATGGTGCGATGGTTGGAGGTAGGAGGTAATAAATGATTTTAATTAATTTTCTAATTGTCGATTTTGATAAGCATCACTTATGTCGTGCTATATTCTTATCTAAGTCCTACCTTATACTCACAGTAATTCCTCACTTTTTTATCCTACCTGAATAGAATATTAAATTAACTAAATTAAAATTTCGCTGTATTGCAAATAACACCTCACTCGATTTTATCCGAGATAATGGTCTCCCATTGTGGCTTCATCCACAGTAATGTAATAAACATTTAATTTCCTTTATAATTCAAGAACCATCATTCTGATAAGAACGTATAATCAATCGAATGACAGAATGAAGGGGTATGGATCTATCAGCGATTTTCGTGTAGGCTATCCTATCTTAAATCGACTAAAAAAAATAGATATAGGCATAGAAGAGAATAGTGAACTAATAAACTAACAATATACTATTACAATTTTAATTTAACAACTTGTACAATATACATATCCTAGAGGATTTTCAAGTATATTCATCATCATAAGACTGGTTGGACACGTACCTCCACTCTTTCCTAACCTGAGCTAAAGTTCGCATTTCCCTAAAACTAGAACAGCCCACATCCTTAACTATTTGCGAACAGTAATCTAATCTAGGTCTACCTCTACCCCTCCTAATTCCTGTTTCTGCCTCTAATATGTCTCTGACTAGACCTTCATGCCTGAGAAGGTGTCCTACCAACCTATCTCGCCTATTTTTTATTGACTTCCATAGAGTCCTCTGTTCTCCTATTCTTTCCAATACCTCTTCATTTCTAACCTTTTCTACCCACGATATCCTCATCATCCGCCTATAACACCACATTTCGAACGCTTCTAACCTTTTCTTTTCCGCCGCTCCCACTGTCCATGTTTCGCACCCGTACAACGCCGTGCTCCAAACATACACCTTTAACAACCTTTTTCGAATTTCTAAATTAACCGTTCGCGAGCATAGAAGTGACTTCTTTTTATTAAAGGCGACACGACCCTGCGCTATCCTCTGCTTTATATCCCTACTACTCCTTCCATCCTCACTTATCTGACTTCCTAGGTATCTAAAATCAGCCACTTCTTCTAATTTTTCGTCTCCTATCTTTATATTCGCTCTTTCCCTACTTTTTCTTCCCTTGCATACCAGTATTTTAGTTTTACTTTTATTTATTTTCATACAGTACTGATCTGTCAGTACCGTTTCCATTTTATTTAAAGCTATCCCTAAGTCCTCCTTGCTAGATGCTAATACTGCTATATCATCTGCAAATCTAAGCATACTAATCTTTTGCCATTACACATCTATCCCTACAGTTGTACTGTCTTTAATGATGTTGATGTTGTTGTTTAAGTGTATTATAGATTATTTAATCTTCCTCTATGTATAAAGTAGTTTTACAATACTTTGTTGTAAGTTTAATTGTGTAAACTAAAGTTATTTAAGTTTATGCAAATATTTTTGGACCAGATTTGACAACTAGAGACGCGTTTTTCTTTACATTTACCGCCTATGCTTTCGAGAGAACGCATTAGGACGATCAGGACGACACACGGTTGGAGAAGGATTTTTGCTTATGATGCGGCAGTCCACGCGCTGTGTAATAATGAGTTGACGATAGAAACCAAGCACGTGCACAAGCCGTGAGTGGATTGTCGTTCCATGCTCCGTGTAACCGCATCTTAAGAATTTTGTTATCTTTGGAATGATACCTCACTCGACTTTTTCTAATATTTTTTAGGTTTTTTAGGGTTCTCCTCCGGTTTAGTCCTTCAAAACGCAATGTTAACAAAATCCGTTTTTAGTGTGCCTCCATGTAGCCTTAAGATTTTATTCAGATCCACCCAATCCATTCAATTGCTTCACCTGTTCGTTGATCATTGCTATACATATAGAGAGATATACAAAAATATATAATTTGCTAAAGTTATATCACAAACTCACAAAAAACTAAAAAGTGTAAAGATGTCTCTACCAGATAATTTATACGTATGTCAACTGTAATCAACTTATCAGTTCCCAAAAAAATACTGTAGAGGTATAGAATACAACTTAAATTCTTAAGGTTTACATTCAAACGTAGTTTACCTCTATTTACAATACTTATTTAAACTTCTTCGTTTACGGTTGTGATATAATAGGTGAGTTAAAATAATCTATTTACGTATGCAGCTGAATCTATATTGCAAATTATATTACACGATTGGCCAAATCTCTTTTGACAAGAAATAGAACAACAAACAAAGAAAATAATGAACTATTTTAATGGATTAAAAAATTTAATTATGATTAAAGCAACGATAACTAAATTTAACTGCAAATTTTATTCAATTAAGAGTAAATATACTCATTTTGAGCTAAATGCATGTGCAGTGTAGTGCACCCAACTAACGAAACTTTGTTCTTCTTGGAAATCTTAAACTAATGCAATATCAAACTAAAATCTATCTAACAAAAATAATGAGGCGTTGAAGGAATACGTACCTAATAAATTAATGCTATTAAGTGAATTCTTCAGAACAGCTATACCACAAGGTGTTTTATTAAAAGCAAATTATTGCTTCTACAAAACTAATTATTCCAAAATAAATTGTAAAACTAAACGTATTTCGAAGTAGGATTTTGATTATTACTTATGGCGTAAATTCGCGAATTTTGTATTTGGCGCAATACGCTTCGTATGCTACACAATTTACATCAGGTTATCCTAATTGGAATTCATTTTCCAGAAACCATACATTACTAAATTCAGAATGAAACCGTTCGAATTAGTCGTGATTTGTATTCTACTAGTGAGTACATCTTGGGCAGCTGAAAATTACGACGACATACCCGCTGATTGTACTCTAACTGGTAATTCCTTGGATCCTCTAGATTCAATAGTATCCAATTGTACAGAGATTTTGGTAAAGGATTTCGAAGTGCCTGCTGGTCGTAATTTAACCATAGAACCACAAGATGGTACCACAATAGTATTTTCAGGACGCATTACTATTGGTTACAAAGAAATGAGGGGGTCCCTTATTATAATTAGGGGCAACAATTTGACAGTTATCGGAGCTCCAGGACATATTTTCGATTGTGATGGAGCCAGATGGTGGGATGGACTTGGCGGAGGGGGTGGAAAACTAAAACCAAAATTCTTTAGGATTCAAAACGTCACTAATTCAATTTTTAAAGACCTAAATATTAAAAATACGCCCACCCAGTGCTTCTCAATTAACGGCTGCCAGAATGTGACCTTAACAAATATCACCATAGATGATTCGGATGGTGATAAACAAGGAGGTCACAACACTGATGCTTTTGACACGTCATCATCGAAAAGGGTTACAATAATGAATTCTCGTATTTTTAATCAAGATGATTGCCTTGCTGTCAATTCCGGAAGTGATCACGTATTCATAAATAACACTTGCTCAGGAACTCACGGAATTTCCATTGGGTCTGTCAGAAACGCGGTTGTTGAAAACATTTTTGTTAAGAATTGTACCGTAGTAAACTCTGGTACTGGTGTACGCATCAAGACAGTATTCAACACTACCGGAATTGTAAGAAATATTACGTATGAAGATATTACTCTAAAGAATATTAGAGATTTCGGTATAACCATCCGTGGCGATTACGTAAATAATGGAACAACTGGCCCTCCATTACCAGGCTTTAACATATCTGACATTACCCTCCGAAATATTCATGGTAGTGTCGAAAGCCGTGGTACCAATGTTTTCGTCCTGTTGGCGGATGGAGTGGCATCACATTGGACGGTAGAAAGTATTGATGTTCATGGAGGACGTAGACGACCTAACTGTACTGGAATACCAATTGACAGTGGATTGAAATGTGAAGATTATAATGGAAAATGATGTTTTTAAAAATGTATTTGAATTAATGTTACGTATGTCCTTTTTATGAAAATATACGTATAATTGTCGTTATTACAGTTTTATAAATTGTAATTTGCGCTATGTAAAATATTTATACCACTATTAAAAGTCCTAATCACGAGAATATTACTTAGATAATGTGCTGATAATTCGAGGACTATAAAGTTGAATAATTTAACAAGAACACAACATATTGGAACGTTGATATCAGGATGAATGTAATGTGAACATGATTGCGAATCACTCCTTGACAGAGACTGAATTTAAAATAGAAAAAATGGTATCTACATGCGTACTGTCGATGCCGGTTGTAGGATGGTGGAGTGTATTATGAGGGTTTGGAGAAATAACTTGACCACTTCGTTTTTATTACGTTAAATAACTTTTATTATAAACACAAATTACATACAAAAAGAACAACTGCAAATAAGGACTAGTACTAGCGAATTCCACTGGTTTTTTAGGGTAACAGGAGCAAACGTGCGTTATTGTTTTGGTCTAATGGCGCAGTGAGTTCTCTCGCTCTTACTGCCTTTAAAAAATCGATAAAAGATTCTACTTAATTTATACGGAAAGGGAGCAATCTACCTTACTCGCTACCTCCCGACCGTTAGAGAGAACGGAATGTTTTGAAATCTGCCCATGTACTTATTTAAAATTTTTTGATAAATGATCGATTGCTTTTAAAGGAAGTATAAGTATTCTATATTCCTTAACAATTTTCATTTTTCTGGTTCTTTTGAAATTTCTTAACCAAATTCACTTCAATTGTTCCTAATTTTCGAGAAATACTTATACAGAACAACGATGTTCCCTCTCGAAAGAGTTTTGTGTTGGCGCTTTTCGAGTCTTGCGATGTAGTTCGGTCAAAATTACACTTCTTGGTTACTTCCGCCTCTTTTGCCATAAGTCCTAAATCGGATAGCCGATTCTGATTCATCGTCGACCTTAAAACAGTTTTTATTTTCGCTAGACAACTTAATCTATTGGACCAGCAGCGTGTTGAGCTTTCTTCCTTACATTAAAACTTTAAATTAAAAAAGACTCTCCGGAAATGCTCTTAATGTTCCTTTACGTTGACTTAGTTCGCAGCTGTGCCTGTTAATTCTCTTACATAATAAACGTCAGTTTGATTTCGTCATCCTGTACACCCTGCAGATCATATTACCCTTACGTGTAAAACTAATGACTCATATCTCTAACATGCGCGAACGTGATATTGTATTAACGCGTAGGTGTTCGGAAGTAATTTAAAAATTTTGTGCTCTAAATATTCCATCTGGCATATAACTAAAATTTACATAATCACATTCTTGTGTGACTATGTGGACTCACAACGGCCGCTTTACACATTAATAAGATTGTGATCTACGTACACAAAGGTGTTTTGTATTTCTTGCACAGCCAGAGCGCCACTGAAACTAAGCTTGGCTAACTTCAAAATATTCGGTCATTGGAAACAAAAGAAGCTTTTACTGCTCCAGTTGTGGTTATTCTAATTTTTTATTGTTTTATATGAATCGGTAACAAGAAACTATGCGAAAGGGATCACTAAATAACTATAGTTTCCTTCTTAGGTGGTACTTGCTAGTTGTTGATTACAGCTGTTGCTATTTATTGTACCCAACAAGAATAAATAATTCTAAAAAAGGAAAGAACTTTTCATCTAAGGTTTTGATAATTACTGATTAGTTTACATGGTACCTATATATAGCCGATTCAAAAATAATTCTCGCCAGTGTTATTTTTTCTTCCTGGTAAATGAACATTGTGTAAATGGTGCAAGAAAGGTAGTTTTCATGGTGGCTAAGCTGAAGAGAATGTTTGGATTATTGGAACAGGAAAGGCGCTTTTGAAGTGTCTACACAGTGTGCAATCGAAGATTACAATTCGATGATTATTCTTCATTAAGCATTAATAAAAATATGATGTATAATTTGTAAACCTACGAACTTTGTTTATAAATATAGAATGTCGCATAGTCAAACACCTGTCGCTCATCTACCTAACTTATTTTTATAATTATTCTTCGAATACCACCACTATGGCTAATCAATTACTTGTTCACTGCTGAATTGCTTTCCCACTCTTTTAATTTGCTATCATTTCATAGTTACAATTGAATTGTCCCGGAAAACTTAAAAAAAAATTGAGTGTTTCATTCCCACCAGTTGCTAATGTTATTGGATAGGCAGACTTTCCAGAGTTCTCTAAAGAAATCGCAGAAACGGACAGATGATGGTTGGGGATACAAAGATGAGACAGTTGAAATGAAGACAAAAGAGAAGTGAAGAATTTTCCGTGAAATACTATTGCTGTACCATTTATTATACCTTCCAAGTGACCCAAGGTAACCACTGAAAAACTTGGACCAGAGTTGGCGGACCCAGAATTGAACCAGTGCCCTTCCGAATGTGTGCTGTGACCCAAATCTGTCGGTCCCGATCTTCAAGCAGCTGTTATACTGCGTTTACTTTCTGTAGCGATGTGACCTTCAATTCGACTGGCCCAATGCAGAACAGAACAGCAATAGGCCAGAAAAGGAAAGAAACAACTCTCGGCCAAACTCTTAACCGATGAGGAGCGTATAATCCGTACAGTAATGCACGGAGAAATTGACCATTTTATTCACTACAATTGCATTGCTCAAATGTGCTGTTATTGGTACCATTTACCACTGAAAATATCAACGAAATGTTTATTTATATTTGAAGACATATTAAAGGCTTTAACGCTTGTTTTCGACTCGCACTACTATTCATGATTAAACAAAACCTTTGGCAGGTACTGTATTGAAAAGTATGTTTAATGAACAAGAGTCGAGAGTATAATGAGCTTTTTTTCCCTACCTAAGATTTTGCCAGCGCACATCTAAGACACTGGAAGGGGCACGTCGCTACCGAAAGTAAATGAAGTATAATATGGGTTGAATTTATTTTAGAAAGATGCTACTCCAGAATGCTCGTTCTAGAGCATTCTGACCTCTGCTATACTAGCGACATGTGTATAAGGCACTACAGGTTACTCTTGACTCTTCTTCATGTATGATGGGTTGCCAGCACATGACAGTAAAGTTTAAGTGATTGAATACCGGGTAAATCTTCCTCATTATAGTTGTTAACTTATCAGCGATATAGAAAACAAGATTATTTAATAAGGGCAAATCACAAAATATTCGAAAGTTAATGAAATGTGAAGATGCTTCTTCAAGATAATATAAAGCTATAAATAAACATGTCAATTGCAATCATCTTATCAATTTCTCAAAAGATACGGAAAAATACTACTTAATCTTTTAGATTTGCATTGAAACTTTTTTTACGATATTTATTCAATATCAGTACTTCTTTGTTTATGAATGTGATAAGGTAAGTCAGAATGTGTTTCTCTAAATAGCAGAAAATTGAATGGCAAACAATAAAGAGGAATTCAACTAAAATAATGATAACTGAAGTACAGTTACTTGTTACAGTAATTTATTTGTTCTTAACTAAATTAGTTTTCTGGTCGTCTACGAAGCGAAGAGAGCCGAATGGAGAAAAATGGTTTTATTGGGAAATTTTCTCAAGTTATATTGATGCAATTTTATATTAAAATAGAAACCGTTTATCACCATTTAATATACAAATATAAATCCTTGAAGGAATATGTAATAAATTAATGCTATCAATATTATCAAAGAGATTCGATCCTGTCCACTACAAGCTTTTGTAAAAACGGATACGTGTTTGACTTACTTTATTGAATGTGAGCATTATCAATGCAAAAAGTCCACATTCAAGATGGGCGAATAACGCTGCTGAGTATCTTTGGTAAAATATTCTTTCTGATTTATCACAGTCCTAAATAGTGAGGGAGCTAGATGGTGAGATGGACTTCGTAGACGACCAGAAAACTAATTTTCAAAGATTTAAACATTAAAAACATGCTTAGTCATTGGGTGGTACGCATGAAAAGAAGTAAATGCTAATTCTTCGAGAAAAGCAGTTTCTTGGAATATACTTGTATTTTTTCAATCGAAATAAATATGAAGTAAATGCTCCTCTGGGATAGGAATTACTAGGTACAAGTGCGTGACCATTTGACCGTAGTAAGTACTACGCCGATATAGTAAATACTTCACTGACGAAATAAGTAGTTGAAGTAGCAAGTATTATGTTGTACTACATGAAAACCTAAACTATAATAAAGTTTTAAGAAGGCACAAAAAAGCGTAAAGTTAAATCCTAAGGTATTTCATAATACATGAATCTATTATAAACCTATTTGTAGGGTTTGACATAAGTTATAAAAATATCTTTTTGTTTTACGTGGATAATCCAGAACTCTGTTGGGATTAATTAGTTATTTATTTCGTAAACAATAAGTGACAAGTATATGGCAATAATGATAAATATGTTTGTGGTGTAAAAAGAAATTGTTTTTGTTTATCTATAATAAACACTTCAAATAGATTAAAAGTCATGTAGAGAATGGAATACGGTAAAATCTACTGAAACCAAGATTTAATCAAAATATTACAATTTTTCTTGTACTGCAACTAAAAAATTGAACAGGCAATTCTCTTTATTTTTATCTTCAATACGTCAATACGAAAACATAATTAGATTATCTATCACTTCCTTCGTTTAAATGTGCTTTTCTTTATTCCTACAAATCAACATCGCGTTACAATAATATAAAAATCGGAGGGTATTTATAAACTATAGTTAATAATAACCATACTTGGTTTATCTAAAATTATTTATGTCTGACAGAAAATAGCCAAAGTAATTCAGAAAACGACAAAGCTTTTAAAATCTAAGCTGTTCAGTTTTCTGGTGGTTAAATGTAAATACTGTCTCAGAATTCTATGTGCAAGTTGCACTAACTGCGGCGTTTAGCTGAAACATTTCGAAGCATCAATCTGCTATTTCTCATGCAATCAAATATGAAAAAGGGAGATTTTGAAGCATTATTGCTGTTATAGGTATATTTGCATGCACGTATTTTTCCAAAATGCGAATATAAGAATTGGCCAATTTTTTGTACAATCCAATAGTTCCTAAATAGATAATTTCGTTCACTGTTAGAACAAATTGAGAGTCACAGGTATGTATAATTGTTTAAAAATTAGATTTAATTGAAAAATATATGCGAACAAAGGATGTCAGAGATATACATATAATAAATGTATTTTATTATTATTATTTACCGATAAGATGAATTATTGTCAAGGAATAGCAGCCAATAATTTGTTTCTTGAAGTATTAGCGTACGTAAACAATGCAAATACATATCGAACTATTTCTTTACCATGTCTTATTCATCTTGAAAACGCTACATGTCATAAAGTGATAAATCGTCGTGAATAGAGCCAATGCTTCTCAACCGCCCCTCTATTGAGTAGTTTTCTTCAAATGTAATTAAGAGACTAACTTCCAAGATACTGCTAAAAAAAAACAGTGAATTTAGAAGTCCACAACATTTCAACTAAACTTATTTGCATGACAAATTTCGTTTGGATACAGAGAATGAGGAGATTTCTTTATCAATAAAATGAAATTCTGACTTCACAGTTATTGGTGCTCCTGATAGTAAACTTTCTGACAGAGAATGGTTAGTATAGGAATAATAAAACCTAAATTCATAAAAATTGAAAATGTAAGAAATAGTTATCAAAAGTTGTGAACGTTAAAAACATCCGAAAATTTTTATTTTCGATTAATATTTGCGACTCTCTCAGATATAATTACGACGAGCAATTTGGATAGTGACAAACAAGGTGGTCTCAAAATGGATAACGAGTTTTTTACTAAAAATTCTGATAAAACGATAACAGTCCTTCAATCTTTTGATTAAACGGATTAATCGTTAATAGTTCTAGAATGTTCTAGTATCGGTAGCACTCTGTTGTTTTCTTTCGCTAATATCCTTTAAACTTTTCAATAAAGTCAAACGAAATTTTACAAAACTCTCAAATCCTATTTAGTCCTCCTTAAAGAGAAATCAATCGCTTCCTCATTTCACATGTCATTTACCATTTCCCTATATGTAATGGCTAAGTGCAATTTTCGACCATTTTGTCCACCGCTGGCTGACACACAGTGGACCATCATCACCAGTTGAATCCTTCCAAATTTGCACGGTAGGTACTGTTGTCGGTGGTGCGTAGAACTTTACATATACTATCTAGTGAATCCATTACTCAAATAATGCTACAAATGTCAAAATGATAAAGTTGGAATGTAATAGTCAGAGTAAAAACTGAATGTGGGCATTTAAATCAGTTCACGTTGTTGAAACTGATGTTTAGTTCCACAAATAGTAGGTAGGTACGTCAAAATTGCCGATCTTTAATTTAAAATTCTGATTAAATAATAACAGTCTCAGTCCGAAGCCTGGTTGGACACGCATCTCCACTCCCTCCTATTATGAGCTAATCTTCGTATTACCCTTAAACTAGAACATCCCACACCCATAACAATTTGCGAACAGTAATCTAATCTAGGTCTAACTCTATCCCTTTTAACTCCTGTTCCTGCCTCTAATATATGTCACTGACGAGACCTTCATGTCTGAAATTTTATTTATTGACTTCTATAGAGTCCTGTGTTCTCCTATTTTTTCTAATACCTCTTCATTTTTAACCTTCTCTATCCACGCCATCCTCGTCATTCGCATCTAACACCACATTTCTAACGCTTCTAACCATTTCTTTTCCACCGCGCCCTACCGTTACGCACCCATACACCGTCGTGGTTTAAACATATACCTTTATCAACCTTTTCCGAATTTCTAAATTAACCATTCCCAAACATAGAGGTGATTTTTTTTTATTGAAGGCGATTCGACCCTGCGCTATCCTTTACTTTATGTCCCTATAATTCCTTCCGTCCTGATTTATCTGACTTCCTAGATACCTAAAATCAGCCACTTCTTCTGATTTTTCGTCTCATATCTTTATATTCGCTCTTTCCCTACTTTTTCTTCTCTTGCATACTAGTGTTTTTGTTTTACTTTAATTTATTATATAATACTATTTTGTCAATACTGCTAACAGCGTGGATATCGAAAATAAGCTTAAGGAATCATTCCATTTTTCATACGATTTTAATAGTCAGTCACTTATAGTATATTATATTATGAGAAGAAGTACAGCCGCACCGATTATATTGACATTTTACATAGCGAAATCACTTCTTTTGTCCTTTTCATTGTCTAATATCTTTTTAACCTCTTGGTATATTGTCCGATGAAATTTTCGAAAAATTTAGTCCATTAAAAGTTATTTTCCCCATCTTTTGATGTTTTTCTACAGTTTTTAATAAAAAAGAGCAATCTTCGATCGTTTTTTTCACGATTAACTAAGAGATTGACAAACATACAGATCAACCTACGTTAGAAATTTATTATATAGCGATTATTAATACCTTATTGTGTTTGTAATAATATACCTTGAAATTCACAGTTTTACTTTATATATTATATTTAGAGCATGAGACAAAAAATAAACAGCCCTAAATAATTCAATAACTGGAAACAAATCCTGGTCGAATGCGACAGTACAGAAAAATATTTTTCTCAGTAAATTTTCTTATTTCAAGGAAAAGGCCTACAATATTTGAATTTTATATACGGAGAAAATGATTTATTCACAATAATCCATTAATGCGTCTTTTCACCATTGAATAACATATTTGATAGATTGTAGCAATACACGTCTAATATCCTGAAAGATAAGACGAAAAAAATTGAAAACGGCTCTAATGGATTTACGTATTTACGACATACGTATTAAGCAAATATTGCAAAATAAACGATACGCGTATGGTTTTCCATAAAATTAATTTAAAGATTATGTTATCACTGCACATTCAATTTATCAATTTATTGATCAAACTATCTTATTTGATCATTTAATCTGATGATGCTACTTTAATATAAAAATCAATAATTTTTATTATCATGATGCTAGTTTCTCTCTTCGCTGGACTGCCAACGGTAAGAACTCAAAATTATCATTCAACATATTAAAAGAACGCTTTATTGTCACGTTGAGAAATTAACGTACTACATTCAAATTTCAGTGATTAGGTCACCATGAGATCACTTTTACTAATATTAAGCATCATTTTTCTAACGCAACCGTACAATTTCTCTGAAAGTGCAACTCCCGAATGTACCCTAACAGGAAACTCTGTGGATAATCTAGCCTCGGTATTAGCCACTTGCAAAGAAATCTCGATATCAAATCTTCATGTTCCTGCTGGGGAAAGGCTCACTTTAAATGCTCAAAATGGTTCAGTTATAACATTCGAGGGACATATTACATTCGGATACAAGGAGATGAGTGGTTTCCTAATAGTTATTCACGGGAACAATATCACAGTTGTTGGAGCTCCGGGAAATTTAATTGATGGCGGTGGAGCCAGATGGTGGGATGGTCTCGGTGGTAATAGTGGGAAAACTAAGCCAAAGTTCTTTCAGTTTCGGCTGACAAACTCTATTGTCAAAGGGTTAAACGTAAAAAATAGCCCAAAGCATTGTTTTACTATAACCAACAGCGAAAATGTAATCCTAACAGACATCACGTATGACAATTTAGATGGCGACACACAAGGAGGTCACAATACAGACGCTTTCGATACATCCCATTCCAAGGATGTAACAATTACAAACTGCGTCGTCTTTAACCAGGACGATTGTCTCGCCATAAATTCAGGAGATGGTCACGTCTTTACCAACAATTATTGTTATGGAGGTCACGGAATATCAATTGGATCTGTTGGAGGACGTGATAACAATGTCGTCAAAAATATCCTTATAAAAAATAACACAGTTGTAAATTCTGAAAATGGAGTTCGTATAAAAACCAATCACAACACCACAGGCATTGTTAGAAATGTTACTTACGAAGATATCACCATTGAAAATATTACTGATTACGGTTTTCTTATTCGTGGTGATTATCTGAACGGTGGACCAACTGGAGAACCCACACATGGTTTCGAATTATCTTATTTAACCTTTAAAAATATTCATGGTACAGTCCAAAGTAGGGGAACTAACGTATACGTTTTGTTACATGAAGAGGTAGCGAATAACTGGACAGTTGAAAATATTAGAATTGTTGGTGGAAAGAATAAAGACGTTCAATGTTTAGGAATTCCTAGCGATTGCAGGCTTTCATGCGAAGACCATAACAGTGGTCCTTCGCACTATGTTTCATTTTTCTTATTAAGTTCTTTAATATTTTTAATTGTTCTGCGATAATACTTTCTCTCATATACTAATGAGCTTTAATTTATAACTTGTAAATTAATTGTAATTTAGTAATGTAACTACCCGAATCGTCTGTTTTTGTCCACGATTTACTGAATTTGTGCTAGGAAACCTCTGTTTTACGCTCGATATTATTTAGTAAATTTGTAAGTCTGTTTTTGTCCACGATTTTCAATAAAGGGAAGAAAAACAGAACACACTTCGTTTGTTATTTTTCTTTCGACAGACCAGGTCAGGCTAGATTTGTAGTTATTGTAACTAGTTACGTAATTGTTGTAATATATAAGTTAAAAAAACAAGGAATAGCGCAGAGTCGGATCGCATTTTACAAAAAGAAATCACTTTTGTACTGAGGGTCGGTTAATTTAAAAATTCGAAAACTATTATCAGAGATGTATATTTATAAAACGTGGCTGTAAGGCAGTACGGAAAAGAAAAGATTAGATGCGTTTGAGATGTAATGTTGTACGAAAAAAAAATAGAAATTGGGAAGTATTAGAAAGATTAATTCAACAGAGGGCGTTACGGAAGTTAACAAGGAATAGAGGAGATAGGTTGATTGGGCACCTTCTCGCATATGAAGGATTATAGTCCGGTTTTGGATTGATGAGAAACGGAAGGATAAGTACCTTTCCTGACAATTGACAGTCAGAAGTTTTAGAATAATTTAAGGTAATAGTAATTTTTCTTATTTTGATAGTATAGGTTAGGTATACTGAACTTAATTTTATAAAATTATTCACTATTAAAAACAGCTAATTTTTTTAAGAAGTTTCTCTCTTCGCA